GTGTGTGTGTGCATGTATAATATTCTGAATCGTGATAGAGACCTAGATGTGGTTAGTTATACTTTCAAATAAGACATTATATGTACATTTCTTTTGCTGACATTTTGTTTTCTTTGCTAAAGGTATCACTATAAATTACATCAATTTGTCTGACAATTATTTCAAGCTTAAAAGATCAGCAGCATAGCCTGGGGTTTGGAATCCCCAAGCAGTCGCCTAATGAATGTGAGAGCCTGTGAACTGACAGATAGGTTTAAGTTATCCTTTATTAATCCCTTGGAGAAATTCTTTGACTTTACATTGGGCAGCCAGCTGGTTCTGCCCAGGAAACCAGATATAGCGCTCAGCCTTTGCCATGTTCAGGGCTGTCTTGACAGAAGAACTAAGTACACTAAAAGGCAACAGAAAGCTACCCTTGTGAAAAATTTATAAAATCTTCTATTTACCCTGGAAAACATTATTGCAGGCTCTTTACCTTACTATATAAAGTGCCTTACATAAATAAAACAGAATTAAACTGAAATGAATTAATTTTAATTGAACCTCAGACAGTGATCATTATTTGACTGTCAAGGATGAAATATCTAGTTTACAGCTGCAGCTACAGTTGTATTGATAGTGACAGGCTGTTTTTCTTGTAAGTAGAATAGTAAGTTTATTGATATCTAATTGTGCTTAGTTTTCAGACTGAAAACAGTCTAGCATTAAAAATTCATGTGGTTACGTTATAAACATAAAATTTAATTAGAAAGTCCAATAAATGCCAAATTTAACAACAGATAAATACAACTAAATGTGTTTTCTCATACCAGACACTGTATTAAAGACTAGCATGCCACAAGACAACTCTTGAATTTACAGTTTGGCAGGCATGAACTGGTCGTTTTTAACCAAAAGTACTAGTTTCAGCACAGTGTGTCCTTAAAAATTTTCAGGAAACTGGATAAGTGGAGGACAAAAGAAAAAGTGTCAACCCTAAAACACCTACAGCAGACGAACAGCATCTGAAAGCCTTTACTGCTGTAAATTACAGCAAAGAACACAACATGGAGGGAAATCAGACACAAGTCATACATAAGCACATATACAAGATAAAAAGGCTATACATGAACTGACTTTTATTTTTAAATTAACTTTAAAACCTCTTCTCACAGCCTCCAGAGAGGGATGGTGGACTCCCTCGCCAGGTGGGAAACAAGACTGAATGTGCCTTACTGGGATTCACCCTCGACCTGCGCCGAGACTATCAGGCCATTCGCAACGAAACCCCCGAGGAGAAACTTTTTAAGGTCTATACCTTCAACTCTGTGAGAAAATCCATGAGCACTGTGCTAAAGAACCATGATGGCAGCTACCGAATGTTCAGCAAGGGTGCCTCTGAGATCCTGCTTAAGAAGTAAGTTTACTGCTTGTACTCACACAGCCGTACACAGTAAGATGATGATCACATGACTATCTCTGTGTTTACAGATGTTGTAAGATCTTGACGGCCAGTGGTGATGTCAAAGTCTTCAAACATCGCGACCGAGATGATCTGGTTAAAAAGGTGGTTGAGCCAATGGCGTCTGAGGGACTGAGGACCATCTGCCTCGCCTACAGAGATTTTCCTGTGTCTGATGGAGAGCCTGACTGGGACAATGAGGCCCACATACTAACAGGTCTCACATGCATCGCTGTAGTTGGCATTGAGGACCCAGTACGACCTGAGGTATGCCAACACAGAGACAGCAGGCAAACCAGTCTTTAGAATATTGGCTATTAGCAAAGATCTGTCTATTTTAACATTATTGTGGCATGTTTAATAAGACAAGGATGCCAAAGTAATTTTACATCGTGGGCCAGCTTTGATCTTAAATGGGCCAAACCAGAGAAACTCCTCTTTCTGTCAGTGTAAACATATTTAACTACACAATTAATCCCATTTAATGTGGAATTTCAACAGAACAACTCAGTTTTTCTACATGATAGAGAAATTCTTTTGTAGTAAATGCAGGAAATCTGTCAGCACAAATAAATATGTAAAATTACACTTTCTATACAATGTCTCTTTCCCCCCCGAGGACCCACTGTAAAAAATAGAAATTTCTAAAGTAGAAAGGGACTTCTCTGTGTTATAATTGATGTTGTTTATCTATTAGTTAATTACTTTGGTGTAATATGAATAGCTGTTGTGGATGTCCTTATCAGAACAAAACACTGTAAAAGCAATGAAAATATGGTTAAAAGTCCCAAATCTGCCCTCCCTCAAAATTTCCAAAGCCATCCAGTGGTCTGGTTTGGGGCCTTTGCTGGGTAGATTCTGTCCTATTGTTTGACACCTCTGAGCTAAAGTACAGATGTCTGAAAGACTGGATCATTGGCTACAATAATTCAGAAACTCTGTAGACACCATGGGACCGGTATTTTGTCAGCAACATTTCATTGTTTGTAAAACTATGATTATTGCAAAAACTAGCTGTGAGTCAGTCAGTATTTTTCTTTGTTCGAACTTTTTATTTTTTCAGTGTTCCAATCAAGCTCACGTACTAGATGCATGTTTTTTCTTTTCTTTTGCTCCATAGGTTCCAGAAGCCATCAGAAAGTGCCAGCGGGCTGGAATCACTGTTCGCATGGTGACTGGAGACAATATCAATACTGCCCGTGCAATTGCCATTAAATGTGGCATTTTGCATCCTGGAGATGATTTCCTGTGTTTGGAGGGCAAAGAGTTCAACCGACGCATTCACAATGAAATGGGAGAGGTCAGACAAACATAAAGAAAGCGGATTTGACTGATCAGTAGATGACTGTGAAAATAAGAAAAGTGACACAATAAAAACACAAACATTAGAATGCTGTGTGAGATGTGCATTTATGCATTTACTTACCATTATGGCCTGGCTCACTGTTACAAATGTGATAAGGACTAGTCTATTGGTTTGTTCTCCATTTTTATGCTTCGTGAGCCAACCAGTGCTGCCACTAAGCACCAGTCACACACACTTTTCTTCACTGTCCTTCACTTTAAATCAAAGGTACAGCAGAGTATTTTCATAAAGCCTTTAATAACACAGTTTGTCTGCATTAGTTTGTTTTGCTGCACATTTCACAGTATGAGAAAAACATGATGTCACATGTTAAAAACATGAGGACTTATATGTAAGCTTTAAATTTAACAAATTTCCCACGTGTGAGACTAATAAAGGTTATCTTATCTTATCTTAAATCTCCATTTTATGCCACTGAGCAGTCCTTACCTTATGATCTTCCACTTCTGTCCTGTCTTTCTTTTCTTTCTCCATCTCTGAGTGAAGTTAGCTCTCATTCTCTCCCTGTGAAATACAATCAGCTGGACCTTAAGGCAGCAGAAGCACTGTGTGACAAAATGCACAGACAAACAGTTGATAGAAGCTACATTTATTTATGCTTGCTACTCTTTTGAAGGGGTAGCAGGACAACTGCAGTTGTTCTGGTGTTGTGCCAAAAACAAAAAAACACTGGCCCACTTTAACCCCTGACCATGGCACAAAGTTTTGCCTCGTTCGTCTCTTTTTATGCAACAAAAAATAACTACTCGAGTGAAGTACAGATATATGAAAATTCTATTTAATTACAGTAACAAAGTATTTGTACTTTTTTACTTCCTACCTCTGTAACTTTAATTCAGTTTGATTTGATCAATATAGCCTCAGTTAATGATAGTTATCTGAACAACAACAGTTATTCTATGGTAAGGTAGAGGCCCTACAATATATAAAATGTATAACCTCAATGATCTGCTCATCCCCTTGAAAATTGTGAGGAAGCATATGCTGCATCTGGTTGGAAGGTCAACAACTATTAGTTGGACAAACAGTGATTTAAATCAATATTTTGCCGTTAAAACATAGATTTTTTTTGGTCTTCTCTCTCTTTTTGTTTTGCAGATTGAGCAGGAACGTCTTGATAAGATTTGGCCCAAGCTCCGAGTCCTCGCTCGATCATCTCCAACGGACAAACACACTTTGGTCAAAGGTTAGACACATCTGGATCAAAGAGGGTGGGTGGGGCAGGAAACAGTTAGTGACAAGGGGTAGATTGAACCATTGAGAGAAGGACAATTTATGTTTACAGGAAAATTTGTACACAAGAAGGTTCATTTTGAGTTACATAAATATGAATATTAAAAGCAATAGAAATTAAACCTTACAAAGTAAATATAAGAACATGTGGAAAGAAATTGAAAGGCAGCTTATGTTAAAGTTGATCCTTTGACACTGTTAAACATTAGTAAGGTATTAGTAATTATTGAATTCATTATTTGTAAAGCATTTAGTTTTGTAACCAAGCCTCTAAAAGTCAAAAGAAAAGAAAAGCAAAGACCCATTTTTAACATTTCATTTATCAGTTACATCCAGATCCAAAGAAATATTGATTAAGCATTCTAAAAACGTAATTTTGAAAATGGATTCTATCAGGAGTAATGCTTTACAAATAATGAATAAAGTATTTACTCATACCTTATTAATGCTCAAAAATGTGTAGTCATTATAACCAGTGTTGGTCAAGTTACTTGAAAAAAGTAATCAGTAACTAATTACTGATTACTTCCCCAAAAAGTAGTCCCGTTACTTTACTGATTACTTATTTTCAAAAGTAATTAATTACTTAGTTACTTTTTAAAAACACGATTTACAACCTGAATAGGTAATAAAGCGATAGATCTTTCAGCCCAATTCTACTTTTTCTACATAATCGAGCCCGTTCTCACTCCCGAGGCGTAACATGTCGATGTTTACTTTACTCGTTACTTGATAAAAGTAATTGGATTACAGTAACGCGTTACAAGTAATGCGTTACTGCCCATCTCTGATTATAACACATATCACTTGTCTTTTCAGGAATTATTGACAGCACAGTCTTTGAGCAGAGGCAGGTTGTTGCAGTAACTGGAGATGGAACAAATGATGGTCCTGCCCTAAAAAAAGCAGATGTTGGCTTTGCTATGGTAACTTCAGCAGTCATCAAAAGTCAATGTATTTTAACATTTAGTTACATGTTGTTATAGCATTTTTGCAATGGTGTTTAATATTAAATGCTATTAAATATTGAATATTATTTGCACTGATAATAACGATAGGTTCGTAAACTAGCATACATGCTATGATCTGCAGGGCATCGCAGGGACGGATGTGGCTAAGGAGGCGTCTGACATCATCCTGACAGACGATAATTTCAGCAGCATTGTTAAGGCTGTTATGTGGGGCAGGAATGTCTACGACAGCATATCTAAATTCTTGCAGTTCCAGCTCACCGTCAATGTGGTTGCTGTCATTGTGGCCTTTACCGGAGCCTGCATCACCCAGGTCAGAGCCACCTGAAAACCTCCACTGTCTATCTGTGACTGACTTTAACCGCATGTACTGTACATTTATTTAGCTAAATTTTAAAATGCAATTTTCTTGGAATTTCTGTAAATACTTTGGAGTAAAATGGCTAAAACCCAACTGGGTCTGCATAAATATAGAGGGTGAACCCCACTGCAAGAATTGGGACAGTTCTTGGTGCATGAAATATCATTTCTTTGATGAAGAATGACCCAGAGCTTGAGAGTGAGAGATACTAGCTAAATATAATTGTGTTTACCTCAATGTATGCTCAGCACTCGAGTTCTGGAACCAGTCGCTTGGAGAAGCTTTGTACTTTATTCAGCTCTGGACTGGAGGTGGAGATTGTGTATATTTGTATATCCCAGTTTAGTGGGCAGTCACTAAACTGGGACAAGTTGCTGTGTGTGAGATAGAAAGAAAGTGGTTGTGTACCATTGGGTTGTTAAATGGTTGTTAAATCATTTCTGCCAATATAGTTAATGAGAGCTCAGAGTATTTTTGACTCCCTGGGTGGGGTCCTGGAAGGTGTCCCTACTGGGGACTCCATTGTCCTGCGGGTGGACCTTAATGCTTATTTGGGTAATGACTGTGACTCCTGTAAGGGTGTGACAGGGAGGAATGGCCTGCTGGATCTGAACCCAAGTGGTGCTGTTATTGGACTTCTGTGCCTAGCTAATATCATGTCTAACTATATGGGTGCTTTTAAGTGCACCTTGCACCAGGAATTGCGATCATAAGCCATAGCTCTCATCTGGGGTAAGGGATGGGTGGGGCTCAGGAGGTAGAGCAGGTTATTTACTAATTGGAAGATTGGTGGATTGATACCTGGCTGTTGCAGTTGGCATACCAAAGTATCCTTGGGCAAGATACTTAACACTGTTTTTTCTGATATGTTCATTAAAATGTGAATGTATATGAACATTAGAAAGCACTCAGACATAGAAAAGGTGCTTGTGTGAATAGATTAACAAGAGTATCCAGAGCCAGAAGTATCCCATACGTCCTGTATAACTGGATATATTATATAGGAGATGTAAGCATAAGAAAGAGCCCTTTGTCACTTGTACTCTTTGTAACCTTTATGGAAAGAATTTCTAAGTGCAGCCAAGTATCAGACATGGCCAGTTCCATTTTGCAGATGGTACAATTCTATTACTCTTACTGAACACTACCTGGGTCAATACCTTGTAGTGAGCATAAAGTGACTGGGGTGACAATTAGCACATCAAATTCTGAGACCAATGGTTCTCAGCTGGAGAGCCCGCTCTGGGTAAATGCACTGCACCTCTTATATAGTGCTAGTTCTACTCTATTTGAGCACTCAAAGCACTTTATACAACTTGCTTTATTCACCCATTCACACAAGTACTTTCTTTGTAAGCTCTTTCTATCTAACATTCACACAGCAACTTGGGATTAGTTTCTTTGGCATGCAGACTGAAGCAGACAGGGATTGGACCACCAGGGATTGGACCCGCTCTGTCTCCTGAGCTACAGCCTCCCCAGAGGAGTTCAAGTATCTTGGGCTCTTGTTTACAGGCGAAGAAATAAAAGAGTGGGAAGTGGACTGAAAAACAGGTGTAGCATCTGCAATGTTGTAGATGCCTATTGCCTGTTGTGGTGAAGCATGTGACTGCAGAGTGCAATAACATTCTTACCCTGCCCCATGGACACAAACTATGGACGGTGTCAAAAAGAATGAGATCATAGATTTAAGTGGGAAATTAGCTTTCCCTGAAGGGTGTCTGGGATCTCCCTTAGAGATGTAGTGAAGTGTTCAGTCATTTGTGAGGGACTCAGAGTACAGCTACTACTAATCCACAATAAAAGAAGGATGATGACCTTGGGGCAGACCCCTGACATACTGGTGGCTTGGACTGTGTCTGCCACATATGTGCAGCCACATATAAAATATAACATATAAAATATAGCATATATCGCATTTTACATCATAAATTCAGAATGAGAAAATTTTGAGGTATGGTTTTTACAATTGAGGTTTATGGTTTTGTGTATTTTAGTGCATATTTATTCGTGACTTAGTGACCGTTGTGTATAATTTTGGTCAGGTAAGCTTGTTTTAAATGTCCTATAGAAATAAGTACAGAAGTACTTGAGTTGATTTTATTTTGACTTCAACAACCAGACGAGATCACTTGAAAATGATTCAGGCAAACTGGGTGAACATTTTATTTTGGTTGGATGAGTAGAAATTAGTAGACATGATATTACTTCCATGCACCTATCAGAGTTTAGCAACGTTTAAAGCTTAAGTTATTGCAGAGATGGTTATGGGTTTACAACGTGAGTTCTAAACTACTAAAGGCATTGGAACCTCTTGAATGTTGAATGCTTACATGAAGAACATCACAATCAATATCCTTCCCGTGAATTGTCTAAGGAGCTTGGAAAGAAAATTCCTGAGAATTAACAAACTAAATTCTCAATACCAATTCCCATCCTAATATTTTTAATTAATGCTTTGTGTATATAATCAAAACCCTAATTTGAAATTCTGTTTGTAAATGTTTATTCATAGGTGCCTTTTCTGTCTGTTTATGCTTTTTGGATTTTACGGATGATTTTCCTCTTCTAAATACCATACAAAAAATGTTTCCAGGACTCTCCTCTGAAAGCTGTGCAGATGTTATGGGTGAACCTCATCATGGACACATTTGCTTCGCTGGCCCTTGCCACGGAGCCACCGACTGAGGCACTGCTGCTTAGGAACCCATACGGCCGCAAGAAGCCGCTCATCTCCCGCACCATGATGAAGAACATTCTGGGACATGGTGTCTACCAGCTGACCATAATCTTCACCCTACTCTTTGCTGGTCAGTGAACACATCACACAAGACCAGTTTTACCCTTCTTTGTTAGGGTCGCCATATTAGGAGATTTTATAGTACATGGCCCCGTCCATAATTCTGGCTGGGTTGTAGGGTATGAAATACTTATTTCACTTAATGACATGCACATTAATTTATAACTTAAGGTGCCTGCAGCAATAGTGGTGACACAGCGTAAGTCAAATCAGGACCAATCAAAATGGGAAAGATACAGATACAGGTGTAAATACACCCAAGTTATCCCGAGGAAGCAGTTTGATCCAGATTGTTTGGGTACATATGACCATATTCTTTTAACAATGTATAAAGGTGATCTGGGCACTTTATTACTGCACAAGCAATAATAAAGTGCAGTAAGATGATTGACTTGGTTTAATTTTGGGTCAGGTTGCGGGTCTGGTAATAATAACTGGATTATTAGTTCCATAACCCGACTGTAGTTGGTGGGTTGGTAGGTGCGGAAGGATATAACAGGACAGCTTTTTGCTAATGGAAGTAATGCATTAATAATGCATGTTTATTTGCATACAGAACATGAATGTCAGCTTCAGTTCCAAATGTGAAGATACCTTCCAATGCCAGGTGTGAACTGACACACTTCGGGCTCTCCACGTGTGATCAGATCAGCCAAGATGAATGTTGATGCTGAGTGTTTATCACAGCACTCCCTTCAGTCACACATCTTTGTACTGTATTTTACATTATGTCCATATATGTAATAATCTTATGTCTTTTTGCTTGTAGTTTGTTGTCCTTGTAAACAAACTTTACGAAAGCTGATTCTTAGAGGGATTTTAATAGGTTTTGTGTGGCAAATGTCACTAAAGTATTGCTTGAAAATGTCTTAGTATTTACTTATTTTTTTTAAAACTTAACATTTTTGAAAAATATACAGACTTCATGTTCAGTGACCTTTGATCCTCTTTACAGGTGAGACGCTGTTTGACATCGACAGTGGCAGGAATGCCCCGCTTCACGCCCCGCCCTCTGAGCACTATACCATCGTGTTCAATACTTTTGTCCTCATGCAGATCTTCAATGAGTTTAATGCCCGCAAGATCCATGGAGAGAGAAACGTTTTTGAGGGTGTCTTCAGAAACCCCATCTTCTGCTCCATCATCTTCGGAACCTTCGTCTCACAGGTAACCCTGGAAAAAAGAAGTCGTCAGCCTGTTCAGACTCGATGGAATTAAAAGAATTTTCATATAATGTTGCTGCTCTGTCCTCTTGTAGTTCATAATTGTACAGTTTGGAGGTAAACCTTTTAGCTGTGTGGACCTAACCCTTGAGCAATGGCTTTGGTGCATCTTCTTGGGCCTCGGCAGTCTGCTGTGGGGACAGGTAAGAAACTGTTTTTGCTAAAATGAAATTTTTTTAAATTGATTGCTGTTACGATTATTTAAAAAGAAAGTACACTTTTTTATTTCTAAGGTTTTTTGTATCAGGACATTGTCATGGTCCTGGGTCATTTGACCCAGCGTTTTGAGTTTTCCTGTGTTTTTGTTATTTTGTATTATGATCTATGTATACTGTAAGTTCTCCTTGCTAGTCTGAAGTTTATTTCCATAGTGCTTGGTTATCCTGTTTTGAGTTTTTTATGGTCCCAGTTTAGTTCCTTGATTATTTAATATTTTTCCCTTGTGTCGTTGCCCTCTGTGTCTCCCTCTGTGCATTTGTGTTTATGTGTTTGTATGAGTTCTTGTGCCTTGTTTCCCCTCCTTGTGTTTTATTCCATAATTTTTATCCATCCTCCACTCCTGTGTCATGTTCCCCAGTTTCCTGTTTTATTGTGAAGGTCTCGTGTTCCCATGTTCAGCGTATTTTATTTTGCTTCCCCTGTGGCGTCATGTTCATTTGTAGCAGCTGTGTTCCTCGCGGGTCCTTACTTCCCCCGTTATCCTTCTATGTATTTATCTCAGCATCTCGCTCAGTCCTGTGTTGCGATCTCCCTCATGGTTGTGTGTGTCTCCTTTCTCCCAGTTTAGTTTTTGTATTGCTGGCAATAAAGCTGTGTTGTTTTTTTTTTTTTTTTTTCAATTTTCTCCGTGTATCTGCATAATCTGTAATCTGGTCCTCATTTGGTTTAAAAAATTATTTAAATACAAACTTGACGAAGAACAGCGATACATGACATATTACACTATATCATGATTAAACTAAGCCAAAACACAGAAGCACTGTATGAAGTTTA